TACGTTATCATGCACAACTCGTCATGAATACATTTATATAATATATCCTGGTTTAAACAATGCCAGATGCCAAATTAGAAATTAATGAAGATTTACCAAGAGACACTTAAGCCAATAAATCAAAGAGAGGTTCCCAATCTAAGAATCAGTATGGCAGATTAATTATGATGATGCAAAAACTATGCTCGATTTAAAGAAATTGTGAACAAAATAAATTTATTTTTACTTCCATTCTCAAAGATAATAAATCAACCTGCATTTACTAGATTTTCTTTGAAGCAGAATGGTTTTCTATAGTTAATTAATTTAAATAAATGCCCAAGCATTCTTGACTTTACTGTTACATTATAGCTTGATAAATCACACATAAGAAATGCTATTTGAGGAAGATATTTGAAAGAAACCAGGTACAAGATTGCACCTCTGATAGGTTTAACTAATTTAGATGCCTTACTGTAAATGTACCTCTCCACTAATTCAATAGTCTTATGTTGTCCACAAACTCAATTAAGCAGACTTACATAACTAGAAAGTTTAAATAAATTATAATTTTGTTCTATAATTAATAAATTCACTTACAAGAAATTATAAAGATTAGATTAAGTTGCAAAATTTAGAAAGAAAGAATGAACAATAAAAATCTATACCTTTATAATGATGCTACAGCTGACCAAACCATGAAATTTGAATTAAATACAAAGTAATATAGTAAAAGTATGATTCTGTAGGAAAAATGTGGTAAATAAATTTTAAGGCAAAAAATCTATACTAAGGAAATATTCCGAATGTACTTCAAAACTTATGAACTCTGAGATACTGAACTATTTGTTATACCTAGATAGTGGTTTTTAAGGTCAGTGTATTTCTGAGCATATCAGCTCAATGTGACGCAAGATCAAAGAAATCAAAGTCCACCAAGTCCTTTGGCAGCATCTAATAAACAAAACAAAAAAACATGACCTGCAGATCACGTTTGTAAACCTCGTATCTGGTAAAGAACATATATATGAAATATACAAAGAGTCTTTAAATCTCAATAATAAGAACACAAACAATTTTAATAATGGGCAAAAGATCTGAAAATACACTTAATCAGAGAAAATGTGCAGATGACAAATAAGAATATGAAAACATATGCATCATTGTCATCAGAAAGTTGAGTTAAAACAACAACAAGAAACAAGCAGACACCTATTAGAATAGCTAAAAACTCAAGAAATGGACAGTCCACGTGCTGGTGAGCGTGTACACCAACAGGACGTCTCCCTCGTTGCTGGTGGTGACATGAAATGTGATGGCTACTTGGAGGACAGATCTCTAGTTTCTGACAAATTGAAAGCATTCTCTTAAAATAGGATGGGGCAAATACTGTCCTAGATATGTGTCTAATTGATTTGAAGACTTACGTCTACGTAAAAAGCTTTACACAAATGTGTATAGAAGATTTAATCATAATCACTAAAAATTGGAAACAACCAAGATGTCCTTCAATCTGTGAATAAATAACTGAAAAGTTTGTCCATAGCAATATTATTAACAATTCTAATATTTCTATACGTGTATGTTAGAATTGAATACTTAATTAAATGGTTGCTACATGGTAAAATCAGGTCTCTGTGGGAGAGGGAGCTTATGGATATAGGTCAAGAGAGGAGGTTAGAATGATTCATGTGTTGAAAACATGCATGTCACTTTATATAGACACTCTAATCTCAAGGAGCAGGACCAGAACCCTCCACTCTCTAAAGTGGGGGCTGTACATCATGGCTTCCTTCCTAAGAGTAGAGAGTGGAAAGCTGGAGGTAGGAAGCAGCTTCATGTGAGGGAATTTAATAATCATTATTTCAGCCAGGTGTCCAGGATAAATATCAACAGTCATAACTCATGCTGGCAGTATGTACCCTTGTTATGATGTGATTAATATATCACTTTGCCTCTATGATCTTCTGCCCTAAAATTCATAACCCCAATTGAATTATGAGGGAAAACAGACATATTCCAATAATAGGCACTCTATAATATACCTGACCAGTAATTTCTCAAAACTGTCAAGATAATCAATGACAAGGAAAGTCTGATGAACTGTCATAGCCAAGGGGGAGTCTGAGAAAAATGACAGCTAAAACTAATGCAGCATTCTGGATGGGGTGCTGAACCAGAACAGGACATAGGGAACAACTGAGCAAGTTTGATCCAAGTATGGATTTCAGTTAAAAATAATGTACTGATACTGGCATATTAATGGTAAGAAATGCACCATACTAATGTGAAATGTTAATAATAGGAAACTGAGTTTGAGATGGAAATCTCTGTATAGGCTTTACTTAATTTCGTTTTGTAAATCTAAAGCCATTCTAAATGTTGTCAATTTCTTTAAAGAGAATATTTCTACCAGAAAATCAGAACAATGTGCTTATCAAGCAGTTCCTCACAGGGAATCATCTGCAGGTCCTAGGGAAAGAGATCCCTGCATGGTGGTTTATAAACTTCTGTTCTCTAATTTTAGGAAATTTGGATTGCTCAAAAAAAAAAGAAGAGATTTTATGTGATATATGTATGAATGTTGGTGCATGGATATTTTTTCCCTATATTAAATCTGTTATCATGGACAGTAGGATTTTTCTGTGAAAATTTGAATATTTGATTGCTCTTATAATACATGTACTTTGCCTTTTGCTTATTTTTTTATTTTTAAAAATTATGTACTTGGCTTTTTTCTTTCTGATATTTTATATATACATATATATATTTTTTTTTTGTTGTTGTTGTTGTTACACTGTGCTCATTTAATTTTTGAACTGGACCATATAAAGTTCTGGATCATCAGTTACTAGGTAAGGCTTGCTGCAGTACACATCACAGTTTCACAGTTTTATCTGTCCAACACCCTACCCTTCTTCTGTAAGTAGCAACCACGTCCTTCTGGGAGCTACATCTGTCCACTCCACGATCCAAAAAATATACTTCCATTAAGATCTGTAATGCTCTTACATTACTTAATCCTGACCTGTGACTGGTGTAGGGGCCACCAACTCAGTGACAATCTCTCACAGCTCCCAACTCAGATGGATTGGTCCAAAAGGTGGCAGTTGTTCCAAGGTGAAATATCAGTGCTATTTCAAGTTGTCTAAATTTGGTTCATAAAAAGAAGTAGTCGTGCTTTTTGATGGTTTTAATGTTTAAAACCTAGAACAGATTAGTGACCACGTATCATGCTTACTTAGAGAAAATTGGGTGGCTTTAAAAGAAAATCAAACTTGTCTGATTTTGACAGCGGGGTGTAACAGCCAGGAGAGATACCTGGCGGTGTCAGCTCCCTGGCTCTCGTAGTCCTCGAGATCCAACATAAACCTACCCTTATATTCCTAGATTCCTTCTCACTTCCATAATAGATGAGCTGATGATCTAAGTACCTCCTAGCTGATTTCTGATCCTTGCCATTAAGGAAAATTTTAAACTACTATTTGGGCAACACTGTAGGCCACCATTATTTAAGGAAGGAACTGCTGGATTTAGAATCCCAATTCTTGAGTTCTTCAGCAGTACCCAAACTCAGCACCCTTCTTAAGGCATGTGATAGAAATAAACATGCTTTTTTTTACACTCAGAGTGTAACAGGTTTGACACCTTAAATAATTAAATAGAAATAGGAGAGTCTCTGAAAAATATGCATTCAAAGTTAAGAGAAAAAATAAAGGTTGAGCTGAAAGATTCTTCAAAACCAATAAATGCATACCTATGCACACCTATATATTTGTGGATTCGAATAGTTTATGGTTTTATTTACAAGGTATATAACACCCCTACTGACCAAAAATCAAACATGTGTTAACATTTCCAAAGTGTTGTGAGAAACAGGTTACATGGTTCACTAATAATTTTAATGAAAAATAATGAACAATAATACTTGTTACTTTATTATTTATTTTGAGGCTATGGTGTGTATCCAAGCTGGGATCCACTACAGACAAAACCAGAGAATTCTGTTGCTTGGGATGGAGTATCTCTCCCTGCATGTGTGAATGTTTCCTGATAAGATCTCTCTTTCCTTCCTGACTTCAATAGCTGAAAACATGAGCATGTGTTCCCTATTTTCTCTTCCCAGGCTAAAAGCACATTATACATTTCCTTCCCCTCTTTAAATCCAAAGGAAAAATCTTCTTTTAAAAAAATGTATTTAGAAGTGCTTTTAAATTATGTTTTGCTGTGAACATTTAAATCATCTTAAAGCAGGAAATGTCTCTTGTTCCTGCTGAAATCTGTTTCCTTTAAAGTGTAAAAGTGTCAGTTTATCATAAAGTCATTTTTTGTGACATTCATCTGAATCAGATAACTCACTTATTGAGGGAGGATGAACTGGGGAAAAAAGCTGGCTGGAATGTTAGACATTTCTTTTGTCTGTTGTTCCGGCTGTCTGCTATCTTATAGAAAGCCTGGTTAGGAAATGGAGTCTAAAATCAAATTTAAAAAAAAAAAAAAAAAACAAGGTCAAAAATTCTAAATATGTTATTTCCTTTTAAATACAAAAACCAGAGCAGAGGAAAAGAAAAATCACAAACTGAGAGTTGCATTCACAAAATCATAGAAAAATACAGGAATACAATCAACTCTGTCTGAACAAGAAGACTTTATGAGAAAGGGAGAGAAAGGAGAATTACACATCAAAATGGACCTTAATCATACTGACCCACATTGGTCGTTATTTATCCATGTTCGTCAGTTGTACTCTTTTCATTTACATTTTCAAAGTTGAAATATGACCTGTGCACTTGAATATTAACCATAGGCACTGAGTGTATTTGTCCATAATTCTGAATACTACGTACCCATTTTAAATATGACTCCTGGAGCGTGTGGAGAGAGATGTGTGTGAATCCATATTAAATGTCATGGGAATTTGCATTTGGAAGTATGCATGGTTTCTAGTAGTCTGCGGGTGAGCCTTTGCTTTATTTATTTAATGTTTTATTTATTAGATATTTATGGGTTCTGTATTTCAGAGTTGATTTATACCATGAAGAAAGAACATGTTTTTTGGGCTTCTCTGCTGCTCAGTCTTGCCCCTGCCCCTCTTAGAGCTGATCCTGAGGAAGGTGAAGAACATGCGAATCTCACAGGTAAAGTGTTAGATGCATTTAACTTTTCAAGCTAGTCAAAGCTCTCATTGATAATCCAAAATCGATCATGTTTTCATTGTGTAGGAAAATGAGTTTTTATTGCAGTGAATTTTTTCTTTGGAAACTTCTTATACCTAATAGGCGTGTGTGTGTTTTCTTTTATTAAACTTAGTCTGAAAATGAGGTCCCTTTCAAAGCTGACAGATTTCTTTTCTTCAGGCTACACTGTTAAACCCTGGAGTAGCTCTGGGATACTGCAGGGAGCAAAATACTGGAGAAACAACTCCTGGGGACACTTGATGCCACCCTTGGGTGGGGAAAGCTTAAGAAGGAAAGGGAGCTTCAGACATCAGAGGTCTCAGCCATTCTCTCATCTTGCCCCTATTTGAAAGATAAGGACTTTTGAGAAGAGTTCGATTTAAGAACCTAGTCAAGCAGGACACCAAAGAACCTGATAATACAAGTTACCCCATGAAGCTCTGCATCACAAAATGAAATATTAACAATAAAAAAGAAGACTGTATAGTGATTGCTATTATAAATGTATACCTTTCTCAAAAGTAACATTATGTGGGAAACTAGTAAACTGTTGATGGTGATCTCGAGTCATTGTTAATAGTAAGAGAATATTAACACAATGACAGCTTCTCTGGATAGCAGTTTATGGTGTACAAAATGTTTACATAAACACATTCTTCTTTATTTCTCTCATAGATCTTTGACGTGATTATGTTCAGTGTATTTCTCTTTTATAAAGATTGAATGAACACATCTTCTGAGCCTGACACTGTGGTATGTGCTAGGGAAACAGTGACGGCTGAGACCCGGTTCTCCAGAATCTCAGTTTCCTAGGGAGACTGAACCCTGGAAGGTTCTTTCAGGATAATGTAGTAGATGAAGTGAAGGAAGCACGCATAGGGGGCTCTGTTGCTGCAAAGAGGAAGGAGACCCCTCCAGGCTTGGCGACCTGAGAGCTTTCAGAGGGAACGAGGTGTTATAAAAATCTCCTGGAGAGGGAACATTCTTAAGAACAGTAAAAACCATAACGTGCCTGTGGAAAGAAAATGTGCCTTGTGCGAGGGTATAGTAGGATACCTATTACACTTTAACCCTGAGGGATTGGGTTAAAGTTCTACTCTATGGGTATGGAAACGGGTTGTGGAAGGTTAAAAGGCAGGCGGCCTCAGTCTCGGGAAGGGAGAAGAGAATGGGTCCACATCTTCCCAGTCGTCTTCTAGTCCAAACTCTCTCAGTCAGACCGAGGAAAAACGTATACCCATTACTCAGGAGGTGCCTGAAATTGCTGACCCCACAGCCAACTGTAAACCAGGGTTAACCCTTCAGTAATCAAGCCAGAATTTAAAATCACGGTAAGGTCTCTTCCAAACCTGTTGAGTAACAAAGAATTTTGATCTTAAGTCAGATTTGAAGCCCCCCTGGCTGACTACTTGCACAATCATACCTAGTTTTGCTTTGTTTTTGCTTTATTTTTAAGTCATTTTGCAACAACATAATCTCATATCTGAATAAACTCAGTTTGGGAGCTACAATTCATCGCATAATGCCAAGATCATACCATCGTTATTTCAACTGAAATAGGATACCGTTATTTAGAGGAAAATATGTAGAATTTTGTTGCTTCTCTGAAAAATCAGTTGTAGACTTTTTAAAAGTTCAGTCTGATCAGAAGGGCAGAGGATATAGAATAAACTTCTTACTAAGTCCAAAATGACAATAAGAAAAATAATGGATAAGCTTAAAAAATTCAGTCTAACCAGAAAGGAAGATAATATAGAATAAGCTTCTTAATAAGCCCAAAATGATGATTAAGACAATAATTGATAAGCTTAAAAAAAAAAAAAAAAACACTTTTGCCCTGAGAGCGAGATCAGTGGGGGAACTATTAGAGCAGCTGTCTCAACCTGTGGGTCATGACCCCTTTGTAAAAATGAAAATAAATCCTGCATGTCAGATATTTACATTATGATTCATAATAGTTGCAAAATTGCAGTTATTAAGTAGCAACAAAAATAATTTTATGGTTGGGGGTCACCACAATATGAGGAAATGTATTAAAGGGTCGCAGCATTAGGAAGGTTGAGAACCACTGATTTAGAGAAAGGCAGATGTCTCTTATGGTATTGAAAGTCAGACCGACTTTTGCTGCCCAGTAACTTTGTGAAATTAAATGAGTTAAACACCCTGACTTTCAGGGTTCTAAACTATATGTAAATGATGCAAATAATTTCATATAGCTCTTCTATAAACCATACAAAAGCATCTGGCACATATTATGACACAGAGAAGGCAAAGAGTATTTTCAACTGCTAGAGAAATTGAATCCTTTAGTCAGAGAGGCAAGCAGCGCACACTGACTCTTAGCCCTAGATTCACAACCAAGTTCCAGGAGAATGAGGATTCTAACACTTAAGGTCATGCATTTTCTCAGGCACCAAATATTACAGGCAGCCCTCTATCCTATATCCCATGAGGGAAGGTGAAGGTAAGGCTGTAACCCTCAGACTATGAGACATAAAATACGTTTCATCAATTAAAAATGATTACATATAAACCATAATCCTACTTATATAGTTTCATAATATTAAATTCCTATTGGATCACCCTGATGCTAGCTTAGTATCCTATTATACCCTCACACAAGACCCTGAACTTTCTAAATATTTATGGCAGTCTCTAATGTCTGTGTGCCTTATGAAGGAAGAGTTGCTTGCTGCCACCTTTACTGTCATTCTGCAGTGACAGATAGCACAGTGCCTGACACATGCTCAACACACGTTTGTTAACATTCACAAGGGTTTATCTAAAGTAGGAAATGAAACCAGGGCAGCCTTCTGTCCCTTTTGAGTGGAGTGGCAGCACACAGTGGGTTGGACCACACCTCAGACCCCTGCTCAACTCCAGGAATGCTGTGCTCAGGTGTGGGGAATAAGCTTATTGCACAAAACTGTATTCTAATACAGGATCCCTCTTGGAAATACATTAAAATAAGAAGGATAAAGGTGAACAATTAGCTAATAATAAAATATAGTTAGTAAAAGTTTGTACTTAGTGTTTTTTCTTTTAGGAAATTGCTATATGGTTATCATGTACTTACACCATGAAATTACTTTTAGTTTTAAAAGTGAATTTTAGAAAAAAAATAGTTACTAATTGAGCAAAACTTTTATAATTGAATCTGTGTGGTTTATGGGTTTATGCAAATGCCATTTGGGGAATCTTAATCATCGATCTGTCACAATATCACTCAGTTCTAAGGAATTAATGAGATATCTAGTGTTAAACCAAATGGGGCCAATTCAAAACCCATTATTTATAATATGAATTTGAGACATTTACTCAGTTTCTGAAATGCTAGTTTATGGTTTATAAAATGGAAATAATAATGCCTAACACATTTCTACGATCATTAAGTGATACAATTTCAAAATTCCCAGAGCATAGTAAATACTCAATAAACATTAGGTGCTGTTATTGCTAGGTGTGGCTACTCATTTATTTTACTTTTGTTTTTTGTGGTGTGCTACCACCATCTAGTGGCATAATTCCTCAATAGCCTACTGAACTTGTGAGTATATCCTTAATATAGGAGATGAAAAAAATTAGCTTGACGATAAGAACTACAAAAAATATTTGGAGGTCCAGCACAATGGCTCACACCTGTAATCCTAGCACTTTAGGAGGCCCAGGAAGGAAGATCATGTTAGGAGAGGAATTTGAGAACAGCCACAGGAGTGAGACCCTGTGTCCTTAAAAAATATGAAAATTAGCTGGCCGTGGTGCTGGGCATCTTGTAGTCCCAGCTACTTAGGAAGCTGAAGCAGGAGGATCACTTGACCTCATGCATTTAAGGTTACAATGAGCTATGATCACACCCATGCACTCCAGCTTGGGTGAAAAAGTGAGGTCCCATTGCTCTAGAAGAAAAAAAAGGAAAAATAAGAGTAAAAAAGAGTGAACTCATCAATGAGCAAGAATCTTATATAAATTATTGCTTTATAAGAAATTTTTTATATATAGACACTCAGGTATTAGGCAAAGGTTCCTGCTTTCTACAAGTATAGACCTGTATATTTGTATTAAATGTGTCTGTCTGAAACACTACTTCCTTATCTTGTTGTCCCTGAAGTTCTACAGTAACACTGACATGGGAATGAGACCCGTCATACAGTATTAGCAGTGCTGCGGGACTTTCTGAGATAAGAGTACACAGCTATAAGATACCTATAAGATGCAAAAATACCAGAATATTTTTATTCCTAGCCCATTTAATATATATACATATATACATGATAGATACTTACTGGATTTAGGGACATTATGCTATTGGTGTAAAATTATAAAAAATCATAATGATAAACACTCTATTTTGTCAATTAAACATAACTGCAGAGTAGTTGAAAACTTAACAATTACCCAAGTACATAAAATTCGATTTTAGTTAAAGGTTTGGCCAGCATTATTAAAATTAGCAAAATTAGAAACTCAGCAACACTGAGTGTTTCGTGTTGAAGTTATCCCTATTCTCTGTCATAATAGTTCTCTGTCACGTGTTATTCTGCCTTATCAAATTTGGCAGAAGCTTATTGAGCTTTGAGAAGCTTATTGAGCTATTAGTTCTGTCACCTCAATTTATTTTCAAGTAAAAAAAATAATCAATTCAGTTACCAAATATTTCAAAATTCTGAGATAGTAATTTATAAATTTAACTCAATTTAAAAAAACTAAGATTTGTGTTAATTTTAGTTAGTAGTTGACATAAAAGTTACATGTTTATAAATAGTGTTAATCAAATAGTATCAAAATTTCAAATTATGTACAGAAAGGCATATTTTTTACCAGTCCCAAGATTGCAAAGACTACCTATCACTTTATGACTCACATAAAAATTAGCAATAACATTTAATCAGTGTGTAATAGAGTTTGAACATTCCTGAAATACGGTTGTACTTGCTATTATTAATAATTCACGATATTTAATAATAGGTTAAGTGTAGAAGATACTTCATAAAATTATTTAATTTTACTTTTAATGTACACATATTTTCTTTTTGAAAAAAATTCATGTAAGTCTTGAAATTATAAGACATTTAAAATTGATTTCCTTTCAGATAATCATACATCCACAGACTTATTAATTTCATACTTTAAGAATATTTTATGTGAAAATTTAAGTGGCATTTATTTATGTTCTTTTCTTCAAAGCAAATTGTTTTATAGTTTATTAAAAACTCTTTTGAAGATATGCAGTATGCATACTATTCTGTTTCAATTTAATACAATACTACTGCCCTCTAGAGGGCAAATTGGTTCAAGTCATCAACAGGTTTCAATAGAAGGAGCAACGCTCAGTTCCCAAAAACATAGAAGATACATAGACTCAATATTTAGACAATATTCAAGAATATTGTATGACATTCATTAGTCATTACTATTTTTTGCAGCACCAGTCACAGTTTTCAGTGTCTTTCTTTACAGGTAGATTGTATAAGCAATTACAACTTATTTAAAATAGGTTATCTATTAATATTAATAGACTTAATAAAAATAACAATTTTTAAAATTTAGTTGAGTTGTCTATATGTGAATGCCCTTTATTTATATGGAAATGTTTATGTTATTAAAATTAGTTACTAAATATATAGAGAAAAAATATACTTCAAGGTCAAAAGAATTGCCTCATTCTATTTAAAATAAAGAATTAAGGTTTTTCAACATTATTAAAAGCCAATTATGGAAAGTAAAAGAATGCCCATGCTGTATGTTATTTTTTTAGTATGTAAAAGTCTGAGCTCATTTTATATTAGAAGGAAGAAAGTGTGGAAGAGATGAGAGAGAGAGAGCAGGAGTGACAGAAGGGAAATTCATAGTGTATTCATTTTTAACATCAAATGTGTTAATTTAATAATTAGTAAATGGTTTCATATGGTATCTATATGTACATATATTTACATACATATAAGTTAAGTTTCCTTTAAGGAGTTGTTTTATGTGTAAAAAGTGACACAATTGAGGTTTATGAAGAGGAACTCAAAGAATTGCTCATTAACTGAGTTAAAAGATGAGGTCTGTTGTCAGCAAATCTATTTGAAGGAGATTGATTCCCTATCAGTCAACTGGCACAGATTGAAGCAACATCTGTGAATATAAGCTGGAAAAAATTATAATGCATTTCCCTTTAATAATTGATAAGTAATCAACTGTTAAACTTTAATAGATTATTAAATGTCTTATTTGATGAATTTACTTAGCTACCTTTTTGATAACTGGATAACTTTTTATGATTTCTCATCAGCATGTTTTATTGTTGGATTTTTACTTTAAATCAGACGATATTAAAGAGAAAATAAAGAACATTATTACAGTGTTGATAGAGGATTATATGTTGTGTCTTCTATTTTTACCATGTAGATATCAAGTTGCCACCACTGAAACCTATGCATTCATTTTGTGCATTGAAGGCAGATGATGGCCCGTGCAAAGCAATGATGAAGAGATTTTTCTTCAATATTTTCACTCAACAGTGTGAAGAATTTGTATACGGGGGATGTGAAGGAAATCAGAATCGATTTGACAGTCTGGAAGAGTGCAAAAAAACATGTGTAAGAGGTACATTTCTGGTGATCCTTATTACTCACGAACTTAAAGAGTATTGGGTCTAATCTTTGATTTGATCATTTTAGGGAAAAAAGTAATTTGATACCTTTTCAACATTACCAAAGAATCTTTTATTTTCACATATTTGGTTTTCAGGTTCAACCATCATTTTTTATTTTTTCATATCAAGTACTATAAAATATATTAGCCCTCATTTATTGTCCTATACATTTTTCCACATTTAAGGGGGAAGAAAATCTCTCGGTTCATAGAACAGTGAAGTGTAATTGTGGTGAAGTGAATGTGATTCAGCACTCCCTGAATTGTATCACTATGAGGTGATACAAAAGGAATTGTTATCATATTGACTTATTCTCTCCTTCATAAAAACGTCTCATTAGGATCCTCCCTCCTGACCATGAATGTGAAAATTCACTTTTAGATTCTATATATTCTCAGCTGCATTAGATAGTAGAACTATATACACGAAAATTAAGGCTCTTTTTTGGAACCTTGAAATGCTATAGAAATGACGGTATCAACCCTGCTAATTCGTGTATACTTTCCTAAACCCAGCTGTTTTCATGTTAGTTAATTAATTTACAAGGTTAAAAGAACACGTTGTTTTATTTTTCTCACTAGAAAAAATTAAAAATAAATACTGGTCAAAATTTTGAATCTTTTTATCTCAGGTTATTGTTGTAGGCTGTGATCTACTTGAGGGATAAAGGAATCTGAAAGGCCTGTATGTCCCTAGTTTTTGGCCCAACATTACTCCTTAGCATGTTTTCAGAGCTAGTTGGATTAACCAAAACACTCTGTAGAGATGGTATGTTTCGTGAGTCACAATAGATGTCTTGTGTTTTGCAAATCATTCTTAGTCTTCAGAATGTTGACTAGAGGCTTGGTTGATTCATTCTTCTTAATCCTTTCTTTTTTATTATTTATTTATTTATTTATTTATTGCAGTTTTTGACCAGGGCTGGGTTTGAACCCACCACCTCCGGCATATGGGGCCAGCACCCCACTCTTTGAGCCTCAGTCGCTACCCCTTAATCCTTGCTTTTTTATTTGACAGCAAACTTATTTTCATTAATTGATATTTTCCTTGAAATACATACCCCTTTCTGTTTTTCAAATAATTCATCTCAGTGTTTATCGGTGTATAAACTTTCTTTAAAAGTTAATCAAATGTAATAGTTTCATTCAGAATAAATATCCAATTTGTAATCTTTTGTAAAATTATTACTAAGTAGCATATAAATGTATGTCTCTTATCCCCATCTCATTATCTCTTTAAAAGCCACTTGGTGTTATGTATGTCTAAGTGTTGTATACAGTAGACTATTCTTATAGTATTCATACAGAAAAAATACTGTCAAACTTTAAAAAATCACCTTAAAAAAGAATTCGATGTTCAGCCATCATAGATAACAAGAATTAGCACTTGATGTTAGAAATCTCTAATTCTTGTTATCTACTAAACTAGAAAATGTGAGAAAAACTGAGGCCTCAGCCGTCAGATAGATTTTCATCCATTCCTTCGTCCCTCTCTCCTCTGCTTGATTTCTGCCAAGTTTTACTTCCTCTGTGCACATGTGTGCTCATTGATCAGTTCCAGTTTAGTAGTGAGTACTTAGGGTGCTGATTTTTCCATTCTTTAGATGCTTCACTGAGGTTGATGGTCTCTAGTTCTGTTCAGATTTTTGCAAGAGGCATTAAATCATTCTTTTTTATAGCTGAGTAGTAATCCATAGTATACCCCATATTTTATTAGTCCACTCGTGAATTGATGGGCACTGGGGTTGATACCTCATCTTTCTAATTGTGAATTGTGCTGTAATAAATATTCAAGAGTAAGTGTCTGCTTATAAAATTATTTCTTTTCTTCTGGATAGATACCCAGTAGTAGGATTGGTGGCTCAAACTGTAGGTCTACTTTTAGTTCTTTGAAGAATTTCCGTGCTGTTTTCCATAAAGGTTGTACTAACTTGCAGTCTCACCAATGGTGTATAAGTGTTTCTTTCTCTCTGCACCCACACCAGCGTCTATTGTTTTGGGACTTTTGACAAAAGCCATTCAGAGTGGAATAAGGTGGTATCTCACTGTGGTTTTAAACTGCATTTCCCTGATGATTAGTGATGTTGAGCAGCAATTTTTCATATTTATGTTCCATTTGTTTATTTTCTTTTGAAAAGCTTAATCACTTTAATTACAACTGTTCTAAGCAGCAAATTTAGTCATTATGAATTCTCATTTTTATAAATGTGTTAGGAACATTTAACATGGTTTTTGAAACACTGTATTAAAATAAGTTGGCTTCATGGTTAAATAAATGGAAAAAATTAATTTTCACAGAATATAAAAAATTAATTTTATTAATGTTCTGTATAAGAATAATTTTATGATAAAGCGTTATCCTCGTTTGTTCATTCAATTAAAATTCACAGTATTACATTATGAATTATAGCAATTGATATACATATATTACTTGATTGCAGATTATCTAAAGAAGATTACAAAGACAACATTGATCAAAGGTAAATATTCATTTTGTGTAAATTAGTAAGTAAATTTACATAAGGCATCTGAATATTTAAATCTTAGGTTTCTCTCTCTGATATGAGATTGATCATAGATTCATACAATCTTTGAAATGTTGTTTTATTTCAATGGATAAAATGAAAACATAGAAAAATGTACACATGATATTTGATGGGAAAGGCTCCAGACATCATGTGTACTTTTATTCTAAGACAGCATGACATTTAATTTTAATCCATTCAGGTTCCACACACACTATTTTAACATCTTTTAGATAGTGATTTGAAAGTTTTTAGTCTTGCTTTACTTCTCTGATCCCTAATTCCATGTTAATCTCAGTAATATGTGGTTTTAGCAAATTTCTTTAAATATTTCCCTGAATCAATATATGTCTTTGAATTGACGAAAGTTCTATATGCAAAATTACATGGGGATATTTAAAAATAAGTACTGCCTTTGTCAATATTATTTAGCACCTATGGGCACATGTTTAATTTTACAATTTAATATTTTTATTTATTAGTTTTAATTAAGTATAATTACTTTTGCTAAATATATTAGATCAGTACAAAAATGTTATCGGCAGGTAAAGAGAAACAATGTGCTTTTAATAATGGTCTAGAAACTGTCTTGGTCCAATTATGATATACGGCATTTACATTTGAGTAAGAACATATTGTAAAAAAGAGATTAAACTGCTTAACTCAGGACATGAAAGAACACAAAATTTAAGATGCATTTTACTTTTACTTATGAAGATTTAATTATCTGGGAAGGAGTTGAAAATTCCTCTGATTTGATGATAATCTTTACTAACTAATCAGAATTTGAATCAAAATTTATAAAATAAACTCACTGACAAAGTTTGTAAGCGATTGCATTTATTTACAATTTAAGAAAAAATTCCAGTAAATATTGGATTAATCTGGAGAAAAATGTCTAGTGCTTCAATTAAATAATGTCTTCACCAAACCAATATCAAAGGCTACAGCATATTGATAAAGGGAATTTTGACCACCAAATAAATGAAGATATTTTCATGAAAGGAAATACCACCATTTAAATATTAAGACCTTTCCCCAAAAACATAGAATTAAAAAATATATATAGGTAAAATTTTACTCTAACATGTATTATAAATATTCTATTTGATAATTCAGAATTTAACAATTCTTACTTCATATTATACATGAAAGTTACTATGTTAAAAATGTTCAGATGCTAAAATCAATCCACAACAAAGACGTCTATCAAATCGAAGTTAAGTAGTATGCTTCCTAGCATTAGAATAATTGTAAAGAAAGCAGAGATTATTACATTGCTTTGAAAGTAAAGCTGTGTGCGTATGCAGTCCTAGACAAATATTAACAGTAAAAATCCTACAGCTATTAAATGTTGGTATATTGCTCATGTCCACATTCTTGTGTTACACAATTTTAACTGAGTACCAATTTAGGCTCAGGTTGTCTATACATAATCAATAAGAATATTAGTTTATTTACTGAGGAATATCAAAAATAAATGTCTTGATTTGTAACTGTATTTAAACCATAGGCTAAAAAGAATTATTACACATGTATGCATTTCTTATTTTGCCTTACTATAAGTTCGTGTCCTCTAAATAGTCTTCAGATAAATAATAACCTCTAGATGTACAGTTTCTAAATTGTGCTTAGCATAATTAGCATTATTTTCTGTTGTTTATATGCAATATTTTTTATCCACTATGCTTGTTGAACATGAAATTCTTATGCCCTCTGTTAAGATAAATTAAAATCTGATAAAATGTAGACACTAAGACTAAAACAAACAAAACTTTTAATAGTTGAATACATTTTTCTTTCTTTTAGAGAAATATTTTTAAAATTTCAAGAGTTGGTTTTATTCTTTTTCCAACTATTATACTTAATAGCAAACCATAATAACATTCACTTTGAAAAACAAGAGGCAATATGAAAATTATAGTAACAATCACTCTGAAAAACAAGAGACACTAAGTAAAGTCAACTTTCAAATGGTGTTTTGAGAATATGCAGACGACAGATTTTTAAAGCTATATTATAATGGGGAGTTTTATTTAATAAAATGAATTTTTACAGGACATTAGTTCTTTTCCAGGTCTGCAACTGTTGTAGAAATCATGAACATTATGAAATACATTACTTTTATATAATAAAACAATTATGCGTATTGCTTCCCTAAGATAGTTGCTTTAAGAAAGGATACAGCTGGGCGCCTATAGCTCAACCGGCTAAGGCGCCAGCCACGTACACCTAAGGTGGCGGGTTTGAATCCCCAGCCCGGGCCCGCCAAACAACAACGATGGCTGCAACCAAAAAATAGCCGGGCGTTGTGGCGGGCGCCTGTGGTCCCAGCTACTTGGGAGGCTGAGGCAGGAGACTCGCTTGAGCCCAGGAGTTGGAGGTTGCTGTGAGCTGTAATGCCATGGCACTCTGGCCAGGGGGACAGCTTGAGGCTCTGTCTCAAAAAAAAAAAAAAAGAAAGGATACTACAGTTTCTTTTTGCTGCTATGAGAATGTAGCTGTAAGAGAAAAAATAATGAACAACTTGCAGCTTTGTGCAAAAAAACAAAATTCAAATAAAATATGCCATGCGATCATGTGATTTTGAAACTTAAATCAGTCATTTTCACAGAGTATCCACACAGACAGAGCTGGTAATGTAGATCCCAGTAGCACGACTTTGGTAACAGCTGTGTTTAGCCTGCTTTGGAGCTCAATCAAAGAAGAGGTATTAGACATTTGCAAAAGCCTCTCTAATCCTTGAACGTGTATTTCCTTTCTTCCTCTGCCCTACTGGACTCATTCCAAGCCCAAAAAGAGACACAGCAGTGAAGGGTGTCATATCCAGTACAGATATTAATTTCAGCATAAGAATATAGGAGACTCTAAAGAAGGTCATGAAAAATTCCCTACTTTTCAAATTTTCTTTTGTGACTTTTAAAATTTAAACCATTATTTCTCTTTGCGGTAGCAGAGAATATGTTTACATACATATATAAAAATTGTGTTAGTCCTAAAGCATACCTCCCTATATAATCTGTCTGTATATGATACACAATTCATGGTATTGTCACTATTCTTCCTTTCCCAAGCATTGGAATCATATATTTCAAGTTGTAAATCAGACCCTAGACTGGATACTATTTCTTTCCTGAAGATGCTTGCTTATCATAGAAAACATTTAAGATGGACATTTAAAAATGATTTCATTCTGGGAGTAAGTGGCTCATGCTGTCACCCCAGCACTTTGAAAGGTTGAGGCAGGAGGGATCCATTGATAACACGAGTTCAACACCAGCCTGGGCAACATAGCGAGACTCCATCTCTACATAATAATAGTTTAAAAACTCAGCCAGTTCTGGTAGCACGTCCGTAGTCCCAGCTACCCGGGAATCAAAAGAGGTAAGATAGATAGCTTGAGCACAGGAGTTCAAGGTTGCAGTGAGTTAGATCACATGCCTTTTTTTTAAGGCAAGCATAAAACAAAGTTTATTGAGGAAGAGAAATGTAGGTTTTTAGAGTAAGCATAAGATACAGGGTGTTCAGGGCAAGGTATGTTCACCATAAACAGCCAACAGGCCTCCATTGCCAGCACAAGTAGGCAAAGAGGCCAATCTAAGTGTTTTAACCTTTGGATATGGTAAGCTTACTAACTTGGACTGTGGTGATTGTATTTTCTTAAAAGAAAACTAAGACGTGATTTTTACAAAGACATTTATTTTTAGCTATATGTGAATTGATACACACTTGAATACTATTACCATGACGTAAATTAAATCATATTTGATTATCTATACCAATTAAACAGTTGTTGAAAAGAATAAAGGCTTATCTGTATTAACATGACCTAATATCTAGGACATATAAACATTAATGCTCTTACAGTATAGAGATTAAGCCTATCTTTTTCAGACAGTATTGAACCAGAAAAATGAATGAATTTTTGAAAAACCCCACTATTTACCAGTAATGTTGTTCTAGAAGAATTAAGAGATCCTTCTCTCTTTCTCTCTCTCTCTCTCTCATTTCTCGCTCTCCATTACACACACACACACACACACACACACACAGGTACACATATCTAACTAGATCTAATTTATGTTTTTGACTCTGCAGGTGTAAACCATTCTTAATGAAACAATACACTCCACTGACTTCCCTAATGATACTCCTCACCTAAATAGCATGAAATATTCACAGACCTTTCCTAAAAGTTGATACATATAACCATAATAAAAATAATTAAACCTAATTTTTGCCCTAATATTTTGAACCTCTAATGCAAGGGGGGTAAATGGTAAAATAACCCAGTATCTTTCATTCTCTCAATTCATAAAAAAGTTGAAATTTCCTTACTAATTTACTATTAGTCGTCTCCACATGTGATAGTTGTAATAGTTTGTTTCCAAATAAATCTTCCACCTTTTATTGCTACATAACATTTTTTAATTTTTAATTGTTATGGGTGCATAATAGTTGTATGTATTTATAGAGAAACTTAGAACTTGAAATACCAAGCACAAAAATATGGGTGAGATAGGTATATCTTTCTTATTCTAAATACCACAGTAGATCTTGAAGATAATTTTAATTTTGTATAGGTGTGAATAAGAGTATATGTTTACCACCTGTCTTTAATTTTTATGTTTAATCCTTAAAGAACATAGCCTGTTATTTATATATTTAACTAAAATAAATAATTTATTAAGTATATTGCTTTCTGGAATTTTTATAATTTTTAGAAAAGCCAGATTTCTGCTTTTTGGAGGAAGATGCTGGAATTTGTCGAGGTTACATTACCAGGTATTTTTATAATAATCAGTCAAAACAATGTGAACGTTTCAAGTACGGCGGATGCCTGGGCAACCAAAACAACTTTGAAACATTGGAAGAATGCAAGAATACCTGTGAGGGTACGTTCCTCATCTCAAGTTAGTTTATTCATCAGCTTATTCATTACTTTTAAAAATAAGTCACAAGCTCAAATCACAATTGCCAAGACATGGAACCAACCCAAGTGCCCATCAACCCATGAATGGATTAACAAACATCGGTCTATATATACCATGGAATATATTTAGCCAGAAGAAAAGATGGAGACTTTATATCTTTTGTGTTTACCTGGATAGAGTTGAAACACATTCTTTTTAGTAAAATATCACAAGAATGGGTAAAAAAATTATCCAATATGTACATTACTAATATGAAACCAATATATAAACATCTACATGCCCACATGAAAAAAAAAAACAAGTGAGAGACAATGGAGAGAGAGAGAGGGGAGTGGGGAATGAAAGAGGGTGATTGGCAGGATCTCACCTGCTATGTGGCTTCTGAGCACGCCCCACGGGTGAAGGGCTCAACTGCAACTTGAACTTTATCTTAGAAATAAAACAATGTAACCTAAACATGTGTGCCCTCACATCAATCTGAAATTTAAAAAGAATAATAAAAATAAGGCATATAAGAGTATGTCCAGTTTGACCAAGTTTTGTTTTAGCTATGCAAATTAAGAGATATTTGTATTCAGTAGATCTGTAAGAGATGTATATGTTGTTTAATAAGACTCGCAATTAAAAAAAAATTAATCATCGTGCAAACTATTTCCAGAGATCTCATACGGTTTTTTAATTTCTCCTGCTTAGAATACTACAGTATATTTCCAGCACAACTGTAGAATTGCTAGAATCCCTTATGTTTATAAAAAGTTTGAGGACATATAGTAATTTAGAAAATACCACCTAACATCAATGCCTTTTTTGCATTAACATTTATTAAAGTAGTGACTCACACATTAACTGTTATTTTTTTTAACCAAAAAATATAAAGTTATTCATGGAAATTATTTTATAATATAACATATTTAAAGATCACTGTTTGGTAATTTAACACAGTAATGTGAATATAATTGCTAGGAGTCTGGTTTTCGTAGATCTTGTGCTTTGTTTTATGTGTAAAAGTAGGAGATTGAGACCAAGTTCTGCTATTTTAACTGGCTGTATTTTTTTCCAGTGAATGATTTCCAGGTAGATGATTATAGAACCCAGGTTAATACTGTACATAACAACTCCTTGACTCCTCAACCAACCAGCTTATTTGGTAAGAATATCTTTGTTTTTATTGTTTCCAGAAACATATCATCATGGTAACAGTAGAGGTGGATTGTACATTAGAATCATCCTTTTAAAAATTATATACCTGTTTTGTTGCTTAATATGGTGTGTTGAAGTACTGAGATTTGAAGTGCTTAAACAATTGATCTCATAAAAGTAGAAGTTTTTGAATCTGTTTTAAAGTACGTTTTGAAGTGTATATGCATTAAAAGCATCATATAAAAACTTTCTATGATATTTAATTCTATGCCAAATTTACCTTATAATATAGTACTAGGAATTACCAACTTCAATATATGATTGTAAATCATTGTACTGGTAGTAGTGTGTCAGAGGCAGTCAAAGTGCTTTTACACTGGGCAGGGTCTCTATTATTAGTCACAAGGTTGATTAGAAATTGATTGAATGCCATGCCCAGATGGTATATCACTCTGTAGGGAAATTTCTTTCAGACTTCTGCAGGTCTCCTTTCTGGATGTTATGCTGTTAACATATTTATCAGATTTAAATGAGCATACAAGAAATAATGCCACAAAAATGCAGAGCTGAGAAAAAAGTGAAAATATTGGAAAACATAACCAGAAATCACAAATATCTGGGCACTTAGAAACAACGTAATAAAATAAAGGTCCTAGCTAAATTATTAAAATGACACTCATTCAGATACTGAAGATTTTGCCTAGAAGCAGCCTGTGTGAATGTGTCAAATGTGAACAGGGCATGAGGAATTCTGTACCTATTAAAGTTGCAGCCAGAGGATATTCAGAAAAGTATATAGTGTTTAGGTCAGGAGTTCTCCACCCTGGCCATATATCAGAATCATGGGATTCAGAATGAGAATGTCTTTGGGTAGCTCCTCCTTATAAAACAAAGAAACAAACAAAAAATACAAGCAAAAAAGAAACAACAACCAGAAAGAGAAAAAAAAATTAAAACAACCTTTTGTCCATGTGGATTTAAAGCACAGCAAATCAGCAAATGTTATTTGTGATTCAACTCGAATGAGGGCTGTGCATGTCCACCTTAGTCCACACTGATCTAATTATCTGTGGAACTTGCATTAGCACTGAGTAGCAGGCCTTTGATGTCGCAAAGAGAATGTGAAGCATGCTTACAGAGGCAAGGAGACATAAGGCCTCAGAGAGAGCATGCTCTGTGCTCTCGGTACTGGAAGGGTGGGAACAATGAAGAAAGTTCTGTCCATTCTTCAATGAGTCCTGCCCATTTCAGACTCTCTCCATAACCAACTCCATAGATCCTCACCTCTTTAATCTCCTCCAACCCAGCCTAAGCATTGGGATTAATGTGCGTGAGAGAAAGTATAAATTTCTTTCTATAAAATGTATATTTTTGATGTAAGAATTTCAAAATGGATGGTGATCTCAGAGATTAGTAAATTCTCTAAATTTTTGGTATTCAAGCAATGTTCTAATAGCACTTAAGACGTCATAAAGGGAGTGAAACCTTCAGTGGGAGCTGGAAAATATGGTGAACTTCAAATGCTTATGATTTTATATATTCTATAATTAATGCAGTGAATTCAATATCAGATGATTTTAAGTCTAATTATTAAATACTACCTTATGATAATAAATGTCTTTGTGGTTTGATGTTCACCTATAAAATTAAGTAGTTTCATTGCACTGTTTTCCTATGTCTCTTCAACTCTGTGTCTTTCAATGATATTTTTTTTACCCACTTAAATATCACGTGTTCAAGACAATGCTAAATCTTGTTGCTGAGAAAAAAAAGTTTAGAATGAATAAGTATTAATTGGTTTTAAAATATATGTGATACAACATATCAGCACGTAAGAGAAATGCATGAAATCGGTTTTCACTATTTTTGGTTTAAATGATTGTACAATTCAAGTGGAGATCTTCAGCCATTTTATTAAAATGAATACAGTAGGTTAGGGAATAGTTTTACATTGAAGTTGTATGAAATATAAGATACATGATTTTTGTGTAGCCTACGACCAAATCAGAAAGGGGAAATGAAAATAAATGTGAGAAAGTAATATTAGTGAGTATTAAATATCCCTCGATGTATGCATATACCCTCTCCATATTTCTATGCAGACGCACACTGAATATTGTAACAAATAAACAGTTAAGAGTAAATTACTAAGAGGCAAAAGAATTTACAACATGAATTCAAAATCAATAAAGATTTTGTTAGAAATAGTATGCCTTTAAAAGATAATGTTTCAGAGTAACTGCAATTAAAATAAGGGTAAATAACTCCTTTCTTTGGAATACCACAATATTTTATTTTTGATTGTATACATTTAACTCAAAAAATATATGTTCCAGTAGCAAATTTGACCCCCTTTTCTCTTTTTCTATGAGAATAATGAATTCTTTTCTTTTGTTTTGCAAGCTTCTAATGTAAAATGTGAAACAATATTGCAATCACTATGAAAAGTTTAACAGTAAGGGTGGCTTAAGTATCGGGTTGTCCATAAAGCTTTGACTCCATTCCTCCTAAAACCCACATGATCCCTGATCCAACTCATCTAAGATGCCGAGGTGGGATTGCAGCTGTCCCTCTTCACTATGTAAAACTTAGATGATTTCTTCCCCACTCCCTACAAGGGGTTTGCTAAGATCTATAAAGAACCCTGTTGATTTCCCAGCTAAAAGAAAGTTAGACATCTGTCACTGCTAAATTACATAAATACATTCATTATAGTTTAACAAACTACAATATTTAATGCTTATGTAAAACCTTGATCGAAGGCTTTGTCAAAAGTATAAAGCAGTCTGTGGGCATTAGATTATTTTGAAAACATGTAAATTTTTTTTTTTTTAATTAAACCGTAGCTGTATACCTTAATGCAGTCATGGGGTACAGTGTGCTGGTTTTACATACAATTTGAAATATTTTTACCAAACTGGTTAACACAGCCTTCATGGCATTTTCTTAGTTATTTTGTTAAGACATTTATATTCTACATTTAGAAAGATACACATGTACTCTTGTAAGATGGACCATAGATGTGGTCCCACCAATCACCCTCCCTCCACTCATCCTCCCCATCTTTTAACTTTCAATTCAGTGTATAGGAATAATAATCTGCCCCACAATATAAATGGCATAACATTCTTTTAAAATTATTTTCGTTAAATAACAATCCTTAAGTATAACACTTGAATACTGGAAAAATTCAATTATTATTTAATATTAAGTGGAATATTTATAAATATAATTTTAATGTTTCCCTGCTTGATAATATTAGAAAAACATTTTAGTTGTTTTCTTAGATGTTACTAGAAAATGTGTTGGCAAATTGTTTTAATTACTATTTATTCTTAATTAATAGAATGTTGTAAATGGGCTTGAGAATATATTATTCCAGTGAACTCTCTTCACTGAAGGTATACATATTAAATACATTGAGTTTTAATGTTTCTCTTTTTATTTCCGATTTCAATATTAACAGGCAATATAGACGATCTCAAAGATTGAGCTTTACTCTTTCTAAAAGAGATTTTTCTAAAATGACTTGTAAGCATATCTCTGAGTATAGGTGAGAGAATGTTATTCAAGGTTGAGTTGTTCAATTAAGAGGATATCCACTTAGTTCAAATAAATGTGGGTTCACACCGCGAGTGTGAGATAAATAATTCAAAAGCAATTGCCCCAAATGTGTGCACCTTTGTGCATAATCTTGAGGATTTAATACCATCGCAATTGGTTTCCCTTTTATATTGGCAGTATGATATAGCAGATAAAAGACTCTTGAGCCCAAAGTTATAGGTTAAAATCCCAGCTCTTTCACTTAAGGGTTGTGTGACCCTAAGATATTTCTGTATCTCTCTGAGTTTTACCTTTCCATTGTAAAATGAAGATCGTACTAACCTGGTAGCTTTTGTGCAAGGTTAAGTCAGTCGATATTGCATAGCTTTCTTAGGACAGAGCCTGATATGATGCCTGGTCAGTAGTATAAATAATTAATAATTAATGAGTACAATTAACTCATTAATAATGATGAATAGTGTCACTCATTATTATTATCTGTGTGATTCAGTCATACTGTACTTTTGAGCCCTTAGATTTTCATCTGTGAAATAAGTCTTTCTAAGGTGCTATGTAGAAGAAATTTATTATTCAGATACTTATGAAATCTCTCATTATCCAAATAAATGCATCTGTAAACACGGTTACGAAATCATACTAACCTTTATAGAATAATTTATACTAGAACTAAGTTAATACATATGTGGAAACTCAAAGCACTCACATGTGTTTATTAGAAACAAGTTGAGACTATTGGCTTGGAGAAGTATTAAGGGGTTTCAATGAGAAAAAAAGTTTATTTGTCTTTTCAATATTTCCAGACTTTCAGAGTTCTGCTACTGTCTTTCTGATTATTACAGTTGAACATTTAATAATTGACTTTGACTGCTTTTCTTCTTCCAGTCATTCATTAAATCCTACTGCTTTCTTCAATGAGAGCACACACTTTTTGGGTTGCATAATTTGCCTGTGTACAGATTGAGTCAACGTTATGTGTGTGTCCTTCCCCCAGATATTGTGCACTGTATACAACAGGTGTGAATTTACCCACCTCCTTCTCTCCTCTTCACTTCTGTCTCTTCCATTTCAGTCCTAATTGTTGTGCTCCAATTATCAACCCCTTGCATTTAAATTATCTAAGCAATCACACGTCATCCAAATGGAGACTAATGCAAGTAGAAGGGGAGGCTAAAAATGTTAAGTTATATATCTATTTTAAATACCCATGCATTGACAAAAATTGAAATTGTCATTTTGGTGCCTTTCAAAGAATAGTTTAGTCTTTAAATGTATTTCAATATTTTTAATCACATGTATTTTGGAACATGATATTCTAAAATAATAATCATGACTAATACTGACTTGGGCAAATCAAGTCACATTGTGTAGATGTGAATTAGATAAATAGGTACAGATAGATATCACAGGGCTCAGTATCACTCTGAAATACTCTATGTAATATACACAAGACAATCAGATTTTTTACATAGGTCAAGTACAATACATTTTATAAACAAGGAGAGCAGACAGACAGAGAGATGGAGACAGAGAGACAGTATCATAGGTAACATGAATTACATACGATCTTTTTGACATCACTGTCCTAATTCTATTCATCTATCATGTTATGGGTAGGCTACCTTTAATCAAATAAACTTAATCAAATGAGTTTACATATCTCTTTTCCTTTATAGAAAAGTTAAAATTAAAAGCAAGCAAAATTGGGCTTAATGGGGATATTCCTTCTGGGTTAATTTTCTGTCATCCACTTGGTTTCAATTTTTCTGCATTATCTGTTAGCCCTCCACATATTTCAGCTTTTCTTGCTGTCAATAAATTTTTTCTGTCCACCCACAACACAAATTATCTACTCTCATTTCATACAGTGTTTTATGTGATCTTTATACCTAAAATCCCCTGGCCCACCTCACCTTTTTTTCCTAAACGTTCACTACCATAATGAAACATCTTTCTCACTTTCCATGGGCTTCTTAGTTTGATTCATTATCATTCGATATTTTATTTGCTCTGCCTTACTGTCTAGATTACAGGGTTTTTGAAGACAAGGATTATGTATATATATTTGATAGACTGCCCCCAGTCCCATCATTTAGCTCAGGGCTAAGCACATGACAGATGACTCACAGTTTTTATTTATGAATTTTTTATGATTCACAGTTACAAAAGAAGGAACAAATGATGGTTGGAAGAATGCTGATCACATGTACCAAGTCTTTCTGCACGCCCTCTGCATTCACGCATCCATGTTCTTTTTAGGGTTGGATAGCATTTTATGCACATGTTAACATTTGTGCTTTGGAGATAGCCTTAATGTTTATATGTCTATGTATTGCATTCAACAGCGTGACGTTAATAAAGTTTCAATATTTACATGTATATTTAATATAGTCTCACTACATCTCACTCTTAAATGTTTAACTACCAAAGAAAGACTAATGTTCTCAGTGTTTTTAAACATTGTCCGGCTGGAAGAGGTGTTACGCTCAGAAAAGACTTAAGTGACAACCAAACAGCATCGCGAATACAGTCCATTTCCAGATCTGCAAGAGAATGGTGTCACCTATTTGGCCTCTTTTTTGAGATGATTACATGCAGAGGAATATTGCAACTATGGAAATGTGAAAAGAAAATGTCCCCGATCAACTAAAGAGTTCACATTCTGCTTCAGACCATAGTGAATCACAAGTACTGTGGACAATTCTAAAATACCTCACTTCATCCATATTCCACTTCCATAGTTCTAAAAATGTATCTTGCCTTTCATCATGTGGTCTCAGACCAAGAGGCACAAAAACATCCCCTGTAATCTAAATATGCCTGCCTAGTACATCTGGAGCATCCTCAGCTGATTTCCTCACAAGCTGGCTTTCCAAATATAGATAAGAGCTTTTGGAGAGCATCCATCAAGCCTTCTACTTCCTGACAGGAGTGCTGCTGAGGAACAAAAATGTGGCGCTTCACCTCTGCCAAAACTGCTGCCATCCAAACGCAGTCACCCTAGCCGACCACTGCCTACCTTCCTAATCCTGTTCTTCCTGGACCAGTTCTAGTCTTAACAAAGATCATTTTTTTCCTTGGTTATTAAGAGTCCTCCAGAGAAATATTTCTCCAACTTGAATAACACACAGATGCTGGGGTTTGTTGTTGTTTGTTTTATTTTCGTTTTGAGACAGAGCCTCATTCTGTTGCCCTGGGTAGATTGCCATGGCGTCATAGCTGACAGCAACCTCAAACTCTTGGGCTCAAGAGATCCTCATCCTCCCAGGTAGCTGAGACTACAGGCTCCCACCTCCACACCTGGCTACTTTTTCTATTTTTAGTATAGACAGACTCAGGTGCTCTTAAACTCTTGAACTCAAGCAATCAACCTGCTTCAGCCTCACAAAGTGCTAGGATTATACGTGTGAACCATCACACCCAGCTACAAACATATTTAAAAGGGAAAAATCACAGACTTTCAGTTCATAAACCAAATTATTTTACATAATGTCAGTTTGTATTCATAAGTAAAATAGTAGGAAGAAACGTCTTAAGCTTGTGTTCATTATACAACTATAAACCAAAACCTATTTATAAATTAATACACCACAAAGTGTAATCTAAAAAATAACACTAATTTGATAAATTTTTAATATATAAAAACAATGAAAATCCTTGTTGTGATATGTTCTGAATTGCTCTAGGGAAGGTTAGGAAAGCGGTAGCATAGTCAAGAAACACCTTTACTACTCTCTGTTGTGTGTAATTCTCTCCTCTTTTTCTATTTGAATACTGGATGATCTCTGCAGAAGTGAAGTTGAGAAGCATTGATATGTGTCCATTAAGTCCAAAAGTGTCCATTAAGAAAATCTCAACTATATTTTTATGGATACAGCAGAGTGAGGTTTCTAGACTTTGATCATATCTTTTACCATTAAATAGATCTCACTGACCAGTGCAAGTATGAGTGATCACATGCATAAAAATCTGGAATTGTGATGTGTCATTTCTAGAATCAATCCACGTTCAGCATCCCAATACAAAAACTCTTGCCTTCACGTGATAACTCTCTAATTATCTAATATTACTTGGCCCAGCACTGCTTCCTTTCAGACTTGTTCCTAGCCTCCTTCTTTGGTGACCTATTTTAATTAGACACCTTTCTCCAGGTCAAACGTAGTAAACATTAACTTTACACATGCAACTCCATGCATATCACATTCTGAATCTGAGCTTCAAAGATGAGGGAATTTGGAGATCGGTTATGAAACAGAATTTTTCAAATAATTTTCTTAGTTCTTTTTCAGAATGGGACTAAGTGTAATGATTAAGAGCATTGACTCTGTACATGGACAATTATGGTTTTTAATTCCAGTTCCGCTATTTGAAGGCTCACTATGTGGCCTTGAAAAAAATTAAACCACTTCATTCAGCCTCAGGTTCTTCATTTGTTATATGTGAAGAGTAATATACGAAAACTTTGTGAAGATTGTAATGATATATAAACCTCTTAACCCAGTGTTTCACACACTCTAAGAGCTCAAAATAGGAATTCCTGAGTTTTATGATGGTGATCACCCAGTTTTATCTGAACTTGCAGTAGAAAAAATAAAATAATTAGAAGGATTACTTATATGCATTTTATTATTGATGATTTAATCTAACATCTATAACTTTGAAATGAAGTACCTTCATTTAATATATTTTATGCTATGATTATCTGAAATAATATACATAACACTTGTAAACATTAAACATGATTAAAAAAATAAAAGTAATATATTTGTGTCTTTTGATCTTATTTGGAATTGGAGGATTTATAAACCTGTATTTCCAACTTTATCTTATGACCTGAGGTGAATATCTGTATATTTTTAAATTTTAGTCCAGTTCAACAAACGCTGAGTACTTTTTACATAACAGGAACTATGACAAGGACTAACAGTATATGGGTTATAATAATAGGGGGGGTTACCCTTTACAGACATTCCTGTCAAATCAGAGAAGGAGATAGTAAATAATTTCAATGCTTATCTTTTTTTTTTTTTTTTTTTTTTTTGACAGGAGCCTCAAGCTGTCCCCCTGGGTAGAGTGCCGTGGCATTACAGCTCACAGCAACCTCCAA